ACACTCCACGGAGCCTCCTGGTGCTTCCGATGTGCCGCAGGGAGCCGCATCCTGATCCCCCTCTGTGTCTCCTGCCACACGTTAGCAAAGGCGCCGCGCTGGAAGCAAGGGGAGTTTGAAAACTAAAAGTCTTGCGTGCCTCGGCACGCTGCTAATCCACTTACTTGGATCCTCTTAGGGCTCCTCTGCGCTGCCCTGATCCCCTCTATCAGCCCACCCAGCTGCTCTGATCTGCTCTCTCCACCTCCACCGCTGCTCTATTAGCGTCCCTGTCAACTCACGGGGCTTCAGCTCCTTCAATCTCCTCTCCCAGTGAGAGTCTCTCCACTAAATTATAATCCTGGTAGCTCGAAGACTGTTGCAAGCTAACATCAAAATCACCAAGCGCTGCTGCAGCCCCTACTAGGAGGTTCTCTTTTCTGAAATGTTTTCAAACAGTGCTTACATTGCAGGCTGGATAAAAAATTTTAAGGCACATTCATAACCATACAATGTAGTTCAAAATCTACTTACCCATGTACTTTTTAAAACACAGATTATCTGAATTTAATATCCATGTCAGGCTGGAGACTGGTAACCCCCGAAGATGACGCTTTCACTCAGCAATGAGATATGTGCAGAAGCATTTTCATTAATGCAGCTCCCCCTGGGTCTGCTTTAGAAACGTGTGGGTATTGAAGACTCCATCCCCTGTTTATTCCCGACCTCTCTGCTGAGGCAGTCGGGACACCTGAGTGGGTATTTTTCCCTCAGATGGACAAATCCTGCAGGGATCAAAGCGACAGCGCAGAGCTCTGATCATCCAGTAACAACTTGGAGAGATTTCTTGCCAGGCTTGGATAGAAACTAATGAACTCAAACTTAGAAGCACAATACGCTCAGCTGTTAATCTTCTATGCACATTAAGGGGAAAAAAAAAGCAGAAGAAAACAGACTTTTTTTTTAAAAATCAACTTTTCTATCATCCATCAAAAGCTTCATGGAGGTGTCCACATTATGTTTATTCACCTATGTTGAATCTGTATTCAAATTGTCTCAAAAATGAACGGTCACTCCAGGGAAGGGTGAGGAGAGACATGCGTCTAAACTCAGTGTGTGACATTTAGCAAGCCCATCTGCATTTTCATTGAATTTTAAGCCCTGTTACTGCATCTTTCTAGGAAAGCACCTGGGGATTGAGTATCTGTGGTGCAGATACTTGTGTACTTTGCAAATGTTTGCGCTTCTGCTTCTCTCTGCCCTCGTTTGCCATGACACTGTTCATCTCCTTTACTGTGGTTGTCCCTTTGGGCTGCCCACATCTCCCATCACAACCAAGCTAGTTGGCCAGGCCCGATTTCTTTGACTTTTTAAGTATATTTTGGCTCCATTTGTGCTGTATGATCTGTGGCTMTTTTCCTGAAATGTATTTGCTTGGCTAAAATCAAGGGAATCTCAATATTATGTTACCCACTTACATGGTTTGATAAAAATAAGGAACATACATACAGAAATATCCACCAAAAATAAAGAGGGGTAAAAAAAATTATTTTCCTGCAAAATGCTTTGAARTCTTTAAGAGTCATAAATGGCCAATGTCTCTGTTTTGTACTGCTTTCAAAAGAGCACATTCTCCCTATAAACATATTAGACACTGATTCATTAGGGGCTGCAGCACCACAAGCTGAGATACCAACACTATTTCATGAAACAATCAAGTTTTATTGATATATCTCCTATGCCAGCCAGGTTGGCAAAAATTAACCTTTCTTAAATGTGAAGCTTTTYGGAAGCGGTAATGAATTATATCTTGGTTTTATGGAAAATAAAACTGCTGGGGTAGGAATTGACCTATAGGTTCCTTAGCCAAAGCAATTCACCTCAATACTGCTTTATCAAAAGCAGGGGAGGTCTCATCCAAAGAATTATTTCAGGCATGTTTCTAAGAGTCATTCTAGCCTCCTTGAGCAGCAACATCCATGTGGGGTCACTGGCTTTCCTGGGCTGTCACAGAGGTCTGTCCTGGCAGACAGGACCTTGATTTACCAAGRAAGCTAATAAAGAATCACATACCTAACTGAGAAAACTTTTACTTGAAATTATTCCTCCTGCATCCTCTGTTAGCTGAGAAACATCAGTTTTGCCTCTTTGTGTAAATAAAAAAAAAATTTTTTATAAAAAAAAATACACTCTCAGGTAGGTTTTCCCCCTGTTTTAATATTAAATAGAGCAATGAAAACTGGACACACATGAAGTCTTGAATACAACCTGAGAACTGACTACAACCTGAATCATTCTGATCTGCCTCMCCACTTTGGCAAACAGATGACATCAGGGTTGTAATGATGTATTTCCGAGCTGTCTTCAATAATCTTTCTGTACACTGACAGTTGGCTTGCAGGAGATAAAGCTGAGCAATCGGTTAATCACGGCAGAAATTGGAAGGAAACACCGTGTGTGTTTCTGGAGTTTCTATTACTTTTGAGGCTATTACGAATGTTCCAGGAATTTGAGTAACTTCTGCATTTTCRTTTTCGGTTTTATTAGTGAATGCTGTGAGTTGCTTCAAAGCAGGTTTGTGGTCAGCTCCATGGGGTTGTTCGAGAGGTCTGCGGAAATCTGGATATAGGAAAAATATGGGTAACACTATTGCTTCCACATCCAAGTTTAACTGCAGTGAACTTTCAAGCCCCYATAAGTGGTTTTGGGAGGGCTTACGGGCCTGGCTACAGCCCCAGAGCAAACAGAACATTCATTAATCTSGTGTGATAGAAATACTCAGCCATCRTGTACCAAAAGCAGCAATATTCCCCTGAAAGATCAAACATRATCAGCAGAAAATGGAGAGTTAAACTAAGGATTGGCAGAGTAGATCTCGATGGCTCTAATGAGTGCAGTAATGATCTATTTGGTGAATAAGGAAAATGCTCTTTGCAATACAGCTTGGAAAAGTGTTAAAAATGACCTTCTGCACCAACAGCATCACGTGCAGAGTGCAGAGCACAAACTTCCACACGTGGAAGGGCCGCTCCAGAAACCAGCACAGCACAAAGCAGCACGTGTAAAATGGAGATGCCCCAAGGACCCAGGCCCTGTAAGAGGCACGCAGGGACCGTAGCAAATTGCGAGCGCAGAGATACCCCCAGGAAACATCTTGTGAGGAACAGAGGAGTCGAACAGAGTTCAGACGAGGCTTGACCCAACCATCTTGGTGATTCACGTCCCTCAGAAAATGCTGCCCCGAGCCTAAGGCAAAGAGGAGTCAAACAGATTGGCCATTCTGTAATCAGAGGGCAAGCTGGAGTGGATATCCTCATGAGTCATTAAAAAGGGGGGGAACATCACTTCTTTTGCATTAAAAGGTTGTCATGTCTCTTCAAGAAGAGAAATCTTGAAATAATGGGTGACATCAAATACATATTTTTTTCCATTCAGGAGGATTTTGGTGACTGTCTTCAGAAAAACTTAACCAATATTTGTTCTGTTGGGACGTGTTGTTTTCTGAATGTAGCTACTTATCTTTCACTGGATGATGGTCTTGATGACAGGAGGCATTTACATTAAGTGACACTTTGATTTAGAGACAACAGAGCCCATAGCCAGGAGTGCTGGAAGAAGAGCACCCAATTACAATGGTAATGAGAGGTAGCAACATCTTCAGTGAAACTTTTCCAGAACCATGGCATTAATTTCAAATCTAGCAAAACCCCTCTATTTTACCAACAAAAGCTGTTTTCCTATATCCCTTTCTGCTGCTATACTGGTTTAGTTTTTTTCCAGCCTAATGGAGACGGTCGCACCAGGCACCACCCCGGATTAATTGTGTTATTCTTATGAACATTGTGCGTGACTTGGCTCTCCTCCTCCATCAGCACCGTCTCTAATGAGATAAAAYGTCAGGCTGGAGCAGGAGACGGAGGCAGAAAATGAAACCAGGCCCAAGGTTACGTCTGCACCGCGGAGCTAATTGTGCGGGGCGGCTGGCGCCGAAGCTTGGACATCCGCATGGCTTTCCCAGAGCACGGAATGGCTGAGGTTGGAAGGGACTTCTAGAGATCATCCAGTCCAACCCCCTGCTCCAGCAGGGACACCCAGAGCACGGGACACAGGGCGGCATCCAGGTGGGTTTGGAAGATCTCCAGAGAAGGAGATTCCACAACCTCCCTGGGCAGCCTGGGCCAGGGCTCTGTCACCCTCACAGGGAAGAAGTTCTTCCATATGTGGAGATGGAGCTTCCAATGTTTCAACTTATACCCATTGCCCCTTGTGCTGTCACTGGCCACCACTGAGAAGAGCTTGGCCCTTCCAAAGCGTGCGAGGGTGGGATGCTCCTGCTTCCTCCGTGCAAAGGGTTTGTGCTCAAGCCCCGCTAAAGCRGGGCAGGGTTTCTAATCCATAAATCACCAGCTGGGGTCTAAAAACACCTTTTTAACTTTTTTTTTTTTGTTATTTTTAAGTGCCCTTTTCTGCAGGGAGGAGCTGGGGTGGAGGCTGCTCCATGTGCTGGAGGTGACACCAGCGGGGCCGTTTCCGAACCAGAGCAGCTCGCTGCCTGCGACCTTCACTTCCAACACTTCCAACCAAAGCATGGATTTCCAGATGATGGATTTAAGCAACGGGCGTTTCCTGGCCGTCCTTCCAGGCTTTTCCCAGACCTCTCGCACTTTACAAGTCACCAGCCGAAAATCATGGGGCAGAGGGAGATAATTCAGCAAAACAAGGCRGAATTCGCCAAATTCAGCCTCTCCTCGTGCAGCTTCTTCGTCTGTGTCTCGAATGCTGTGTCCTGGTGAGGAGGGCTCAGGGAAAAGGGCGTTTTTCCCTACAAAATGTGTATTTTGAGCGGGCGCGCTCCCGGCTCGCCGCCCTCCCGCTCCTCCCCGCCGCAGGGGGCGCTGTTGGCGCCGCCGCTCCGCGCGCCCGGAAGCGCCGCGCTGGTCCCGGGCGCCTCTTCCGGCAGGCGGCGGCTGCGGGCCGGGCCGAGCCTAAGCGGGCCGAGCCTAAGCGGGCCGGGCCTAAGCGGGCCGGGCCGCCATGGACATCCTCAAGCGGGAGATCAGCCGCAAGCGGCAGCTGCTGCAGGAGAAGGAGCTCGTGGGGGTGAGCGCCGGGAGACCGGGGTCTCCCGCGACGTGCGGGCAGGGCCCGGCCTGAGGGGACCCCCTGGGCCTGGGGGCGGGATCGGCTCGGGAAGCGCCGGGATCGGCTCGGGAAGCGCGCTGGGATGCGGGAAGGGCCGCGGGCGGTGGGATTTGGCGCTAGGGAGGGTCGGGAGGAGCTGGTGGGGGAAGCTGGGATGGGGGGTGCGGGAGTGGCCGGGCCTGGGGATTCGGGCTGTGTTTGGGGTCTGGGGCAGAATGGAAATGACAAAAATGGAAAAACAAAACAAAAAATGGAAAAAAAACAAGAAATGGAACAAAAAATGGAAAAACAGCCCCCCAACCCCTCCAAAACCAACTAAAACAAACAAAAAATCCAGTTGTAAGCCACTATGAAAAATCAGCCTGCTTTGTGGAAGGCATGAATTTACCAAASCCAGTAAGGGAGTTTGAGCCATTGCTGCCAAAATACCCAGAGCTGGAAAATGCTGACAATTGTTCTCTCTTTTAGGAAAATAAAAAGTATTTTAAGCGCAGCGAGTTAGCTAAGAAGGAAGAGGAGGCCTATTTCCAGAGATGTGGCTACAAGGTACTGTAATTAGTGCTTCAAGACCTTGTGTTTATTTTGAAGTCTGCATTTTATTATCAACAACATAAATATTGTTAATGGTAATTGTTGTTCTTTGTTCAATCTGTTAATGTTATACATTAGCCTGTAAATGAGAAGCCACCTGGAGAGGTAGGAGTTTCCCAAACCATTTTCAATGCAGGAAAAGATGTGCATGATGTCCAGCAACTTCAGTTTGTGTTATGGTGTGGCTTTTTTCTTTTCATTTATTCATTTTTCGTGGAAAGCATGAAGTGGCTTGGGATCAAAGCTTGTCCTCTGTTCTTTTCAAACAGTGCTTTTAGGCATGAACACTGATATCGCCACCTCCACCTCCTCTTATTATAAAGAAAAAATTGGCCGTGCTTCCATTCAGATAATTTTCAAGGTGCCCTTGCCAAAATTTCCAAAAGAAATCAGTATAGAGTGGATGCATATTAAAAAGATCTATCAAATTTCATACCAGATATATTTATAATTATTTTTTGGCTCTCAGTCACTCGGCACTGAAGGAGTGCAGCCCAGCATTTGTTTCCTTGCTGGCAAAATATGAGGGGGAAAAAAAAAATGGTTATCTCGGGTGCGTTTTGAAACAAATGAGTGATCTGGAAGGCTTTATCTGCCTTGTGGTGGTGTTAGGAAATAGTTTTCTTGGTGAGAATGCTGGTTTATTTTACAAGTGTGTGTGTGTGTGTGTGTGTATATGCCTGCTTGTGTGATTATATGTGTGTGTGAGGGGCTTTGCAGTGTGTTTTTCAAGTCAGGGGCTCACAAACTTGTTTACTGCTCTGGGTGCAGATAGGAAACTTTGTTTTCAGTTGAACTTTACCCAGTTAGTGACTTATTCCAAAACCTTGGTCTGTCTGTAGACTGTTTAAACATTGATGCCAAAACGATTTTGGGAAGGCATCAATATGCAGTATAAAGCCACAAATGGRGTATCTGTGCTGCTGCAGGAAATGAAATGGAAGTGTAACCCTGAAAAGAGCTTTAAAATAAACTATTTTATTAAATTTAGCACCTTTTTAGAGCCTCCCAGATTTCTGCATTTGCTCTTTACTGTATTAATAAAATGTAGAATATGGACTGATTTCTTTTAAAATTCAGGTGCTTTTTTGCTTTGCTTAGACTTAATAAATTGTAATTACTTGACTTGCTTGAAGAAGAAAGCCCTGAAACCAAAATAACTGTGATAAAGATACACCTTGTGACTTGAAGTCCAGCTAACAGAATGGATCAAATCTTACCCCCAACGCTGCTGTCTTTTTACAGTTTTAAGCATATTTCTAAGTTAAAATCTCTATATCCTTCTGCCATGGGAATTCCTTGTGTATATATTTACGCATTATATTTTGTGTTGCCTGTTCATTCCCCTCTCCTGCACTACTGGATGTTTCATTTCCCCCCTCCCTTTGTGTGCTGAGTATTGGCTTGATTGTTCATTCCTTGCTCGCCCTTGAACTCTTGTGACTGTAAGATTAGTTTCTGTGTTTGCATTGAATAAATAGATTTGTGGCTCAGCATTGGAACTGGAGCCACAGGGGTGGATCCTTGTGTCTATATGGAGTCACGCTGATGCCTATGTRCAGGACTGGGTCATTGACCTGAAAGCATCTTTATATTTTAAGCATTTTTTACTTAAAAATAAATGGGTCTAGCACATTCAGATTCAGCAAGATGGATACAGATTGGAATGGACAACTAACTGTCCATATGTGGGACACTACAGACTACTGTAGAATTGAGCATTTCCCTTTTAGCAGGAAAGGAAATAAATACTAATAAGGTAACTAGGAAGAAACAGATGTGAGTAAGCACTGGTTTCCTATTACAGGAATATTAGCAGCACCAATCTACCTGTGCAATCAGAAATGTCAAAGGGAGCTTATAAAGGAACTGTGGCAACATGACTGCTGTGTCGATGTTGCTTTGATCAAAGAGAGTTCTTTTGCATTATTAAAATATTGAGTAATGAAGAAGAAAGGCTCTGTTTGATTCAGGGACCTTCTTTTAGATTAAGAGAATTTGTTAATGAGATGCTATTCTTATGAAAAGAGGCTCTTTTTTTTTTTTTTTGTATTTGCAAGAACCTGTGCCCGTTTGGCAAGTTTGTTGGGGAAAAAAGGTATTACCTTACACAAACAAGCACCTCTCAAAATGCACCTTAAGCCACGGATCACTGCTAATTGCACTCAGACCCCTGACCTTGTAGGTAATGAACATTGTAAGCACCAAAAGGAGTCCCACCCTCTCCCTGCTCCAGGGTGCTCATTTCTGCTCTTGTGCCCACGTGAGCTGGGTGAGTACCTTTTTCTTCAGATTATTTTTTGTTTGAATCATTTCCCCCATCTGGTTCATCACACAGTGATCCAAATGGGTAAGGGAGACAGGGTAAGGGCAGGAAGGAACAGGCAGAGGGGGATGTTGTTTTTGGCATTGATGCTGACCTATCCCTGCTGAAGTGACAGCCAAGCTTTGGCTAGTGTCTGTTCCAGGTGCCACAAACRTCGCTTCTCACAACCGCAGAAGCGTTAAATAAACCCTCATACTTCTCAAATAACTTAGACTCTTTTATGGTGTTCAGTTATAGGCAACAAATCTTATAAAACTAAAATTTTCAATTGTTGCCCTCATATTAAAATCTGTGTTCTGGAGTTCCTGGGTTAGTCTCAATGTATGGGTTTACTTCTGCTGATGCTTTAGTAATTATGTCTGTTGTATGTAGGTACAGCAGGAAGAGGAGGAGGAGAAACCACTGACTTCATCAAATCCAGTGCTGGAACTGGAATTAGCAGAAGAAAAGTTACCAATGACTCTTTCCAGACAGGAGGTAAGTCCATCACCATAAGCTAATGAGTTTGGATTGGATACACCTGATATTTCATGGTATGACTGTTTTCTAACAAACTGTATTTTCTATGACAGTTTCTATTAAATAATGAGTCTTCATTTTTACAGTCAATTAGAGTCATCTTTACTCATCAGTGATCTGCTACCTGCATGAAAGCTCAGAGATACACGAGTGGATAGAACCTTTTTCATATGGATCTTTGCAGATGTGTTAAAACATTTTGCATCTCTTTCAGATGATCTCTTAGAAGAATACTCTGATTCTGAGATAGTATTGAGTGTGGCATGCAAGTTTTCCAGGTTTTTCCTTTTTTATTTTCAGCTTCTGTGCTATGYGCATAGTTGGTCTGAACCCAAATATAGAAACTAAGTAGATTTTGGAAATTTATCTTAGTTTCTGTAAGAAAGAATCCTGAAGCTGGAGCTGCTGCTGTGCTTTGTATCCCTTCTAAGGATAAAAAAAAAAATGTGAATGTTAGTTCATAAAACAGATTTTTATGCCAAAGCAGAAGAGAAGCAGGAAGCTTAGGAGTAATATTAAGTACAGGATAAATTGAAGACTTTGAATACTGAAATTCACAACTGAGATCATCCAGGGATGTCATTTGTGCCCTTWGTTTTGTGAGACACTTGCTTAGTGCCTGATATACAAAATGAATAAGGGCAAGTRTAAGAGGTTTAGCAGGCAATGTGTGAGATCAGGAACAGGGAAGATCTCTGCTCATGACTTTGCAAGTCAGCTGAGCAGGGCTGTTACACCTCAGTTATGCCTAGTTTTAAAGTAACTATTAMATTAGATTGGGATTTAATATTTGCTTTAGGATGAGATTCTTCAGAAGTCAACGTGCAGCATAGTTAAAAGTGTTTTTATTGCCCTGGACAAATAGGTGAGCGAGGTTATTGTGAAGTTCCTTTGTGATTTCAAAAATGGTATTTACGCTCTGCCAGAAGGATTGATTGTCCTTTTTTATTATTTTAGGAGGATGTGTGTGTATGTATTTGTTAAGATTTTATGCAAAATTTAGAGCAGTCACATTTGGAATGACCTTTCCATGAAATACGGTGGGAATTTTATATTTAGATTGCAAAGTGTCTGAAACATTTTCCTGCTACTTAAAATATTGCCGTTTCCTCTCCAGGCAGGCTCAGCTTGTTATTCTAAGCAATGTAAATAAATCTAGTGTTCAGGATTTTATTTTTCTTCCTTTCAGAGTTCCCATAAGGGGATGTTTTGATTCTTTTCAGGTTATTAGGAGGCTGAGAGAGAGAGGTGAACCAGTGAGACTGTTCGGAGAAACGGATTATGATGCATTTCAACGTTTGAGGAAGATAGAAATTCTTGCACCCGAAGTTAACAAGGTAAGACTGATTAGCTAGTTAGTGCTAGCTAATTAACTACTAGTTACTTATTTGTGGTGCAGTAAACAAGCCTGAATGCTGTAAATGTAACAGATACTGAAAGTGTTTCTGTGGAAGTTTTCACGGGGGAGGAATAGCACAGAACATAGGACCTGCTTTTCTTCACTCATTTGTTTTTGCAAAAGCGTTTTAAATGTCATAGTTTCCATGCACAATCACAACTCCTTAAGTTAGGTGTTTAACCCTAGAAAACTTCCAGGCCTTTGAGTTGAAGATAGGGCCTCCAAGTGGCAGCCATAGACCAGTCTGTGCTCTTGTCCCCCTTTTAACCAGCAGAAAAAAAACATTTTTTGGTTAAAACTAGGCTTTGTGTTTATATGTGTGTCACACAGTGCACAGGGCATTGCTTGGACAATGTGTCTTGGAGAGTGTCTTGGAAGTTAATTCAATTTTCCTTGCGTTTTCGGATGAAAATGTTAAGGAAAATCGTGTACTGGGATGTGAACATTGCTTAGGTTTATGCATACGCTTTGTGCTAAGCACTGAAGCAGTTCTGTTTTCTGTTCTTTCAGCCTGAATTAAGACAGCAAAGCTCAACCTTAATGTACATTTTTGAAGAATTTTTCTTAAATAAAAGTCGGATGTACACGGGGACAATTCTGAACTGCTTTTTTTAAAATGTTTATTTCTTTTCTCCTCAAGGGATTGAGGAATGACCTGAAGGCTGCCTTGGATAAGATTGACCAGCAGTATCTGAATGAAATTGTGGGTGGCCAGGAAGCAGGTGAAGATGACTCACAGAACGACTTGAAAGTCCATGAGGAGAATACTACTATTGAAGAACTGGAGGTACACGATGGGTTGATTTTAATTCAGGGGTTTTAGGGGAAATATGCCATAATATTGTTGTGAGAAAGCTGTGAACAAATACTGAAGCTGTCTTTTTCAACATCTAATTTGGATATTCTGAATAACCCTTAATATATAGTCTACAAGGAAATATAGCTTTCTAAGAGTGGAGCTTCCAGTTTGAGCTACTTCCCTAAGCTCTTGAATTGCACCATAGGTGGCYATAATAGACAAGTGCAAACTCATGTAGTCTTATTCTCAACATCCCATCTAAAAGAGACCAGGAGCTTCCTGCAGGGAAAGTGTCACAGTTAGAATGCCCTCTGTAGGGGATTTGAAGTAGAGAATTTAATACGGAAGTATTACCTCATCACAAATGCTGAGGCTTTTGCAGTGAGTATGTAAGAAATCCGGCTCATTTGAGATGACTTTTCCTTAGCAGAAAAGATGGACCCTGAAAAACAGGCACACGGAATGTTTTGACTGATATAAAAGCAGAGAAGTGAAAATTAAAGAAGGCATTCCACAAAAAAATGCAAATGCAAGGATGATGTGTCCCAGAAACTTCAGTGGAAATGACTACTTTGTATTGAAGGAATGTCAGGGTATTCATGTGAGTGAGTGGAGAATGAGTGCCATGAAATGCATTCAGCAGCTAGAATTTTAGGGTGAGGTTTTCAAAAGCACATTAATTTATGAGCCAAAGACTTTTACCCTTAATCTTCAAACTCTTTGCAGAAGTTAATCTCCTTAACATCCTTCCAAAGGTGTATTTTTTTTAAAAAAATCTGATTTATAACTAAAGCTTGAGTGAATATGTTATTATTAGGAGATAGCTTGGGGCTTTTATGCTAGGATACCAAGGGTTCTGGTGTTAAGATAACTGTTCTACCAGTGCTGATACTGGTTTTGATGGAATTGCTTTTGTGGATATGTTAGTTCTCAAAATCTTCCCTTTATAGGACAGTATCACAGGCTTAGTTTGAGCTATGAAAGTAATTATTTTTGTGAAGTTTGAAAACATTTCAGTCTTGTTTTTTTTGCTGTTTTAGCTGAATTCGGCTGAGGTGGACTGAATATGTTCCAAATCTAGGAGGCTTTTAAACCAAAACTCACTTTGGAAACCTGAGCACAATAGAAATAAATACTGAAGTCCAAGTATAGGTCCTGAAAAATGTCTCTGAGGGTTGCTGTTAGTATTAGAAGTTTTGTGCTTTTGGCAGGAAGCTAGAGTGCTGAAGCATGCTTTTTTTTGATTTATTCCTTCAATTTCTTGGATACAATTAAATAAAATATTAAAAAACATCAGAGAGGAAATGGCCATCAACTTAAAAACGAAATAAAACATTGCATCCACAGTACCCCTTCATGCAGTATTGTCAGAGAGCTGCTAATTATTATACCAATAATTTAGTACTTCAAGAATGAAAAGAAAATGTTGCATGAACTTGTGTTTTCCATGAATATTCGTCTGGCTTTTTTGACTGAATGATCAATAAGACTCAGTTCCATGTAGCTGGTTTGTTCTGCTTTCTGACTAGCATTTTGGATGACAGGCAGAGTGTATTGCAGTTCAAACTGCAGTGAATCACATAGTGAGTCAGGCCAGTGTTCTGCTTTGGAAGGGAGGAAAGGGAGATGAATTAATAAGCACCGTAGAAATAATGTCCTTATTTCTCCTGTCCTCTAGGCTCTGGGAGAATCCCTAGGACGGGGTGATGATCACTATGACATGGACATCATAACCAAGTTCCTGAAGGTAAACAAACTGGTTTAGCAGATTGGTTCTTCTGTGACTGTCTAGTACRAAAATATTTGCGGTGAACAGAAGGGCTGATCCTTTAGCAAACAGAAGGGCCAGTTCCCCCTTCTTGCAAAGAAAGGCTCAACCATTGGGCTCAAGATGTTATTTTTGTAAAAAGGCTCCGCTCTGCCAGGCCTTAGATAAGTCTGAGATGACTCCATGGTTCAAGAGAAGTCACAGCAGTGACTTCTCATTGTCCCAGGAAAAAGCTGTTGGGCAAGCAGAGTTCCTCAAGATCCAGGTCTGCTTTTCCAGACAAATAATTACGGCTTTAATTTTCTTTTGATAAGTGAGTAAGTTGTTATGTGCACTTGCTTCTATTTACTTCTCTTCTGTATTTAAAAAAACAAAACAAAACAAAACAAAAAAACTCCTTAAAATCCTTCCCTCTCCTCCCCAGGAAAAACAATGCAAACTGAGATGAAACCTGGTATTGTTATGTGAAATAAGAGAATTTTAAAGGAAGTTCACTGGCTTGCTAAGGAAACAGGTTCAAGTGGATAGTATAAAATTGTTTCCTTATTTCCTGGCAAGAAGCCTGTATTGCCCCTCACTTGAGTCCGTTGATCTCTGTGTAGCTAACTGAATTATGAGGGGTTGCAGCAGGAGCTGAAGTTAYGTTTGTCTTTATCAGTTAAGTTGGGATGTTAAGTGGAATTTGAGCTGAGCTGCCAGGCAAGGAGAGCTCTGGAAAGGTTATCCAGGTGGAGGGAGGGAGTATTTGCTGTGTTTGGCTTCTGGTTTGCCCACTTTCTAGTGTCATCCTCCTCATGCCTTAGGCTCCTTCTCAAATTCTGCCAAAACATCAGTGTCGTTGTAGATTTTTGCCCTTTTAATGGCCCTCTCCTCCCGTCATCACTGATACCTGTGTTGTTGCTTCTTTATCTTATCTTATGCTCATTTTTGAACACTGTCCACACTGTCTTTGACCCCAGCCTTGTTCCTRTCCCTCTGTGCAGGTCTTCTTGCCTCTTTCATTCATTTTTCTCCTAAAAAAACCCTTTTCCCATGGTGACTTTAGCCCCAGTCCCCACTTCCATCGGCGTTCCCAGCGGTTTTGGTGGAGGAGTCACTAGATGGCAGCATGACACAAACTCCCTCTTTCTTTGCAGTTCCTGCTTGGCGTTTGGGCCAAGGAGCTCAACGCCCGGGAGGACTACGTGAAGCGGGGCGTGCAGGGCAAGCTGAGCAGCGCCACGCAGAAGCAGACGGAGTCGTATTTGAGGCCCCTCTTCAGAAAGCTTCGGAAAAGGGTGGGTGRATTAAATGCCACAGTCACAGAATCACAGAATGATTGGGGTTGGAAGGGACCTCTAGAGATCACCCAGTCCAACSAACTGCTYCAGCAGGGACACCCASAGCACSGGACACAGGGCRGCATCCAGGYGGGTTTGGAAGATCTCCAGGGAAGGAGAYTCCACAACCTCCCTGGACAGCCTGTTCCAGGGCTCTGTTGCCCTCACAGGGAAGAAGTCACCTACGCTGTAATCGGACTTCTCTTTCCAAAGTACCCAGTGGCTCTGGCCATTTCTTAAACACAATTATGTCCTACAGTCCTAGTGACTTAGGACATAATTTTTGCACTTTGCCACTAGCTACTAGGTGTAACCACTTAACCTTTTCTGCTTCATATCCTTCATCGGAATAATGAAGATGTTTTCCTTCATTAAAGTCCTCGAGGGAGGCTAGATGCAAAACATTGTATAAATGCTAAGTAGGATGGTTTTGCTAAGCTGTACATTTTGAAGTAAAGCTGTTTTTTCTTTTTTTCTCCCTTGCAGACGCTTCCTGCAGACATCAAAGAATCAATAACAGATATTATTAAATTCATGTTGCAGAGAGAGTATGTGAAGGTATGTTTGCACTTTTCCAGGCAGTCTGATTCTAATAGATTGAGTGTATACGTGAGCCTTCCCGTTTTGCATTTTAGAGAAACGTGCCCAAAGGTTGCATGATGTGTATTCAAAGTGATAAATGATTCCCAAGGACCGGTCTCCAGATAGTGGTCAACACGAGGTCCATCTTGGTGAGACTACATAACCGGCAAGCGTCAACAGAACTTTTCTCAGGGATAATTGTATTACGTTGCAGAGGAATCCTGAATGGGAAACATGATAGTGTAAAATTAAATGGAGGCATTGAATTAACAGAGATAATTGGGTGTTGATTAATTAATTAGGAATTAACTGAGCTTAATTGAGGTATTGTAATATGGTACAGGGTCTCTTTCTCTGTCTCCATTCACCTGAACAGACCTGCTCAGGTTGAGGTGAGTTACTGAAAAGCATTCAGGACAAGGTCTGGTTACTGGAGGGAGCAGGACGAGATCAAAGGCAGCTTTAGGCCTTGTTTGTAGCTGTCCCCACAAGCAGAACTGATAYCAATAGCATTTGCTTAAGCAGCCTGTGTACGAAGAGGAAATCAAGCCTCACTTTGCCTTCAGTTTTCTAGTGTTTCTTAGACTTGTGAGGACTTGGGGTAATTTGTCTAGAAAGCAAGCAAACCTGCTTTTGTTATTGAAAAACCTCAGATGGCCTAAGGCAAGTTTAGCTCAAATCAGTTTAAAGTAGAACTTGATGTGTGGGTTGTGTGTATATATTTTTTTTTGGTCATTATGTTGAAATTCCSTTTCCAAGGCCTTCATGAGGAAGCGGGAGTGTGCTGGAATGTGAYCTATCTTGTAGGATAATCAGCTGGGCCATTCTGTCTTGCAGGTGCTTGGCTTTGTGTAAACTTCACCCACTGATTGAGGGGGGTTGAGTTTACCTTTCCAAGAGCGTTTTTTTTCCTTTGAGGCTAATGAGCCTTGTGCTTTTAAAGATACTCACATCCTTGTCCATTTTGGTGCCTGTCGTCTTGCCTCTTGCCATGTGCTGCTGTCTTGTGTGCTCTTTGTGCTCTAAAGCTTTACATTTTCAAATCATCATCTGACAGCAGGAAAATGCCCTAATGCAACTGTCTCCTCAACATTAATTAACCCTGTTGCGGCAGCCTTGGCTTGCCTTGTTCATTCGTAGCATGCTCACATACTATGTTCCTTTGCAAACCATATTTCAGTCAGTGAGTCCTATTCCATGTTTTCTTTAAATACATCCATACTGCCTTAATATGAGTATGTGGCTTCAGCTGTATTTAACTCTGGCAGTTCAGACCTTGCCGCAGGTAAGTGAGGACAGAGTCATGTCCGTTCTTCAGATTCACTCTCAGCTGCCTAAGCTCTTTTTTCACCCTGCAAACCTCAGGGTGAAAATGAATATTCATTTGAATTATTGGGGAGGTGAATTATTCATTCTTCACCTCCCAACTTGCTCAATGGAAAACATAAAGAAGCTGCAGGCGGTCATGGTATTTGCTGCTACCTGGGCAGTGGTCTCCAAATGGGAGATGGGGGGATAAGTGAAGCCTTTATCAGTGAGGCTTATAGCTGCTTGCTGATAGAGGAGGAATGTCCTGCTCCAAGTGCTCCTTGGGGATGTGTTTTTGTAACTGTGTGTGTGTGTCTGTCCCTCTTGCTTCCTGCCTCTCAGTTGCCCTTAAAAAAAAAAAAAWARGGGGGGGGGAGCAAAAAGAGCCCCCAAACCTTCCTACTTCTTGCTCTGTTTATTCTCCTTCCTTGTTTTAATCCCTTCCTCAGGGGTGGTGCCTGCTACACCTTTATGTTAAGTGGCACCTGCCCTGTTGATCCTGTTCATTTGCTGGCACTGCTCTGCTCATAGGCATGTTATAAAGGGCTGTTTACCCCAGTTTGGGGGTTCCTGGCCTTTCTGGGAGGTGGCTGCTCTCCCCGCGAGCTGTTGAGGTCTGTTCCACTCCTGTGGGTGCTCTCCCTGTCACGCATGCGGTGTCGCCTGGTCCGGGCTGCCACCAAAATGACAAGGTTGGAGGGGTGAAAGGGCTCGACTGAAACACGTCACTGTAAACGTTACCTCTTGGGGAGCAGTATTAGATGGCCTCATCCATCATCTTCTTTTACCCCCTGTAGAGAAATCTGTAGCCTTTCTTTACCAGAAAGTTGAGCATAAATAAATGGTGTTGGGAACGTGTGTTGTAAAGCTGGCTAATACCAAACGTGRAACCTGACTCTGAGAGACCAAAAGGGGGTTGATTATTGTGAGAGACTGTGTCTGGTCATGCAGTAAAGGGGCAAGCTGTGCTCTCTGAAGCCCTCCTGCCTTGCTGAGTGCCATGTGCTCCCGTTTCCCCAGGCCAAYGATGCCTATCTTCAGATGGCCATCGGGAACGCTCCCTGGCCCATCGGCGTCACCATGGTGGGCATCCACGCTCGCACAGGGCGCGAGAAGATCTTCTCCAAGCACGTAGCCCACGTGCTCAACGACGAGACCCAGAGGAAATACATTCAGGTAAGTGCTGGGCAACGTTAGCCTTGAAAACCCAGCGAATCTCCTTCTGAATTTAGAAGGGTTTTGTCTGTTCACCGCTCCTCCAGCAAGAAAATAATCTGTATTCYGTAGCAGAGCTTGTGATCTGTGTTCTGAGTAGTGTTTTTAACAACCAAACAAGACATCCGCAGCACATCTGTGCTGCTAAGACAGCCTTTCCAGGCTATTTTCCATACTGAAAGGGCCAAGGCTTCCTCTGTTAAATCATATTTCCCTTCAGCGAGGAGCCATCCTCCGTGCTGGTTTTATGACAGGCACATGTCCTCCTGCCGTCTTGGAGTACAATATCATTGCTAAATTGCACCACGGCAGTTTCCTTTCTTCTTCATTAGTCTTTTTTGTGTCACTTGAAAGAAAATCATCACAGTGCTTSTGTCAGGTGGCTTTTTGGGAATCGGTGCCTTAAAAGAACTGAAAACTCCACATCCTGCCTTTCTTCTTGATTTCTTTTCAAGCCTCCTCATTATGTAGGTCAGGTGCTGTAACAGTACAGTGAAGAACAGCATCTCTCCTCTCAAAAGGAGCTGATTGGGACTTCTTTTACTTGCATAGCTTTATTTGGTGTCAAAAATAGTCTGATTTATTTTATTTTTTTCCTATTTAAAATMGCTCGTTTTTAATAAACACGTTTCTTTTAAATCTTTTACTTTAATAATGTCATTTTCTCCCTTGGTGGTGAAGCAGTCCTGAGAGATTACTGTGATTCTTCGCTGTGAATCTCTCGGGAAGGGCTGAATCTGTCAGTTCTTAAGTTATACCACAGTCCCCTTTGTAATCCTGGAGATATTTGGCACTTTGCAGGGACGAAAGCCACCAAAACGTACCAAGACGCAACACAAACCAGAGTGTGCACACAACAAAACAGCAGCCACTTGGTTTTAATTCTCGTTAAGCTGCAGAGTGACTGGTTGACTGCTGAGTGTGTTTGACAGCCCCGGTTCATGACAGCCTGTCCTTGTTGTGGTGCTTCCCAGGGGCTGAAGAGGCTCATGACCATCTGCCAGAAGCACTTCCCCACGGACCCCTCCAAGTGTGTGGAGTACAACGCGCTGTGAGGCTCCTGCCCTCCGAGACCCAAGGACCCCCAAGAGCTTGTGCTTGAGCTCCAGCAGGAACTTAGGGGGGTTCTGCACAAAACCTGAAAGCAACAAACTTCTCTGCAGCTTCTTTTTTACAAGYCCCATCTATTTATATGTCTTTTAAATACTTTACACTGAGCAGATCCAATATGCAATAGGGATTTTTTTTTTTGAGGGGAGGGGATTAAGCACTGGGGGACAGTGATCACGAGCATTGTTTTTATTTCATTTTCTTATTTGGGGAACTCTACAAACTGGAATGCGACCCAATTTCCCCTCTCTTGGAGATGCAGGTGAGACACAGCTCTGCAAGGAGTTTACGTGAAGGCTTTTGGCTGCTTTCCCATTGGAAACCAATGTGGGGAGGTGATTAGAGGGAAGCAGTTGAATCTGAATCTTGGTTATTTCTGTAAATATGAAGAGTTTAATGGCTAATCTTTCATGTGGTATTTATCGAGGAGGGGAAAAAAAAAGTTTATATATTTCTTAGTGGAAAAAATATAGCCAGTCTGGGTAAGAGGAGTTTTTGGTCTTGAATACATTTGATTTCTTTTCTTGTAACTACACTTTTAATATAAACCTTCTGGGCTTGGGGCAAGTAACCCTATGGCCCATGAGGCTTTCAAATCCCATTTTTATACATCTGGAGAAAATTTCACTTTGGTGGGCACTGCAGAGAAAATAATGAGGACCTCCCATGACCAGGGGCAGTATTTGAGAGCCACAAGTTCTTCCCCTTGTGTGTCCCCATAGCGCCAGCAGCAGCGGTTGGTACTGAGCGATCGGAGAAGGGACCAGTATGGAGCACTTCCCATTGTGGGGAATATCCATCCATGTGGTGTATCCATCCATATGGTCTGTCCCTACGAGCTAATTTGCAGCTTCACTGTTTTGTCTGAGTCCTCATCTTGGCTGCCGACGTGGGCGCAGGAGCTGCTGCCTTCCAAAGGACTCATCCCACCTAATGTGGTAGGTCGGGGTCTCCTGGAGACTCCCAGGATCCCCACATTGGCCATGGGAAGTCTTCAGTCTGGAGCATCTGACCCCAAAAGAAAATGTCAAGAGCTTAAAAAGTTTAGAAGCAACAGAACTCCTCTGGAGAGGAGATGGGACTGGAGCTTGGGAGAAAGGACTGGGATTTGTGGGGAGAAAATGGGCAGGTCTGGAGCATTCGAAGGGTTTTGGTGACGGCACCGTCGGGTCTGTTTTTTGCCCTGTTTTTTGTCTGTCCTGCGTGCAGGATTCCTTCAGAGGAATTACCACAACAGGAACCGTGTCTAACTCGGCAGCTCTCTCCCTCTCCCACCCCTGATGATTTCTGAGCTGTTACTAAACCTTTAACCTGACGCCCATAGAAGTCATCGCTCCCCACAGGAGAGCTCCAGGAGCWCTACAGCTTCCCTGGCAAGCGCAGCAAGGAAGTGGCTGGCGCGTGTTTTAAGGAGCGTCCTCAYGTTTGCTTGAGTGACCACCGGATCCCTTAGGGCATTAATGACAGTATTATGTAGGTTTTTCCGTCCCGCTTCCGYGCTGAGTGTGGAGGGAGCCTCAGCAGTCCCTGTTGGAAGGGGGGCTGCCTTTCAGCTTGGGTCGCTTTAGTGGAACCGGGTTTGGAGGCTGTGACTCGAGCAAGGTGTCTCCTCGCTGGCAGTGCCGGCAGGGCGGCCTGAATCCTGGACTGGGATAACTTTATCCCCTTGCAATTCCAGGAATGGCGCCGCCTGGGGCCCTTGCAATTCCTCAGCCGCCTGGGGAACGGAGCAGCCGCCGGCGCTTTCCCACGGCGTCGCTGCCGGAGGGTTCCAGCTGCGCCRCGTGCAGCGCTGGGCTGAGGCTCCACAGCCGGATCCGCCCCGGATCACCCGGCCAGGCTCTGCTCCYGCACTTAATACCAGCATTTAACAGCAAATAATGAAGCCCCGCGTGTAGGTCTGAGCTGGAGGGGSTGTGGGGCAGCCCTCGAAGTGTGGGGCAGCTGGTGGGGACGGAGCGTGTCAGCTTAAATACTTGGGCTTCTCCCCGGGCCCTTCCCAGACGTCCGTTTCCGATAACTCCTGCGTTGGCAGGAAACAGCCCGGGYGAGCGCCAAGCGCTGCAGCCCACGGGATGGTCCCGCTCGCTGCAGCGGCGTCTCCATGGCGGGATTTGGGATGTTCCTGCCCGTGCCTGTTGGAAACAGCCCCCTGGCAGCGTCGTCATCTGCCCGGAGGGTCCCTGTAGAGACACCTGATACCAGCACTGCTCTGCCCGCTCGTAGCTGCGTGCCTTCAGTTCTTCCCTTGCTGCTGTTTATATTGACRGAACGGCTCCTGTGGATAGATATGAGTGAGATTAAATTATTTTGGTTGCGAAACTCTGTTCCTGTTGTGCTGGATGCCACACAACCTGCCCTGTAGCTCTAGCTGTGCCTGGAGAATGGATTTTGGGAATATAAGTGGTTTCTCTTTTCACGTTGCTGTAAATGATGATGGATTTAGGCCTTGGYGGCTAGACCAGCTTTCTGTAGGCCTAGCTTTTTGAGCGAAGGGGTGAGTTTGGCTGCTTGTGAGCACAGAAATGCACCCAAGGACACAGAGGCAGCGACGCCTGCGCTGATGGCTGCTCCATGTAGCTCCTGGGCAGCTTGCCGGGATCCTGGCTCCTGCTCGGCACGTTTGGCTGCCCTGTTGCAACACAAAGAATGGGGCCCCAGAGCGCGGGTGAGAGCGGCCTGTGGTGAGCGGGAGCTCCTGGAACATCATCCCTGTGGGACAGCGGGAGCTCCTGGAGTGCCGCCTTTGTCGTGAGTGGGATCACCTGGAGAGTCATCCAGTGGTGAGCGGGAGCTCCTGGAGAGCCACCCTGGTGGGACAGCGGGATCTCCTGGGAAGGATCCGCTCCCGCGGGGCCCGGGGCAGCCTTCGTGTCCCGGCCCCTCGCGCGGCCCGGSCACCGCGACAGACGACGGCACCGCTTCGTTTTGAAAATGCTTTAATAAGGAAGTGTTGACAACACCGTTTTGCAAAATGTAAAGGTAACTATACAAATTCTTAATACAAAAAGAATAAATTAAAAGCAGATCTTCTTTAATTCTGCAACTTTTTCTACAACATACATATTTTTTTTCCTTGATTACAGTTGAACAGAATCCAGTAAAATCATTTTACATGCTCTAAAGTCAGTTGGAGGAGAGACCTAATTTTTTTTTCGTTTTTTTCCCCTTTTTTTAAACTAGAGAGTCCATTTTACACAACTTGTAATAAAACTATTGACATTAATATATATGTAAAACTTTACATCTAGTTAACTAAGCAGTAACTGGTCATCTGATAGCACCTGAATGGGGATCGGCTAGGCCTGAAACTAAAACTAATACAGAGTGAAAACAAAGGCGACCGCTTCAACATTTCCAACACTCGACTGCATATAATATCATTTAAAAATAAAGGCTGCCCCGCGACGCAGCGAGCGCCGCGCGCACCGAGGGAGCTTCGCACGTGGAGCCGCCGCCGCGMCGGGGCCGGGGGCCCGAGGGGGCCTTGAGAAACAAAACCCAAACCGAGGGGCTCGGGGTGCTGCTCAAGGGCCCAGAGCTCTGATCTGCCCCTCCGTGTTCTCCTTAGCCGTGTTAATCCCATACGATTAACATCCTATGTACACTTGCGCTTAATTGAAGTGAGCTAAACAGTAAAACCTGTTTTACTTAATCTGTCTTTCCTACCAGACTGGCTCCCCACGTGCGCCTCGACTGCAACACAGAAAAGCAGAACGCGAGGCAGAAGCCGGTGCCTTCCCAAGCAGCCTTTCTCTGAGCTCCGGCCTGGCTGCAGTTCAGACTAACTAAACTCTGCTGGCTTTTGGCTTCCTCTCCTGCTTTTGGGGCTGCYGCCTTTTCACCTTTGCTGCAAAACTGCTGCTCTGCTCCCCGAGGAATTAACGTTTCACCCCGCAGCGCCCAGGGGCCTCTTTGCGCCGCTGTTGGTGAATTCTTTTTAATTAAAAGCAGGTACACGGGGGAAAAAGAAAGAAGTATTTACTGGGAAAATTAAAAAGAAAACAGACAGTTGCTCAGAGCCCCTAAAAAACTGGTGGGCTAGATTACTTGCTAATTTGGGTCTTATTTAATCCTTTCAATTTAGCTTCAGACTCGTATTGGTGAATGTCTGCGCYGCCTCCTGCCCGGCTGCCCCCCAGGTCGGCGCCTGCGCTGGTTCCCGTGCTGAGGAGCCCCAGGCGCAGGGCAGGTCTGGGCTTTTTGGGTTAYGTTTCAGACACCCCATCCCCTTTCCCGAGCTAATTCCCGAGCCCCCATTGCCTTTGCAAGCTCGGCCGCAGTTTTCCAGCAACGTGGACACCGAAGGGCACCRCGGTCCCCGCGCTGCCCTGCTGAATCCTGACCCTGCTCTGTCCGGCAGAGCCGCTGTCGGCGCTGGAAGCCGTCCGCTCCTCTCAGCTTCAGCTTCTGCTTTTCCCAAACACCCRCCCCGGCCGTTTCTTTAATGCCTTTCCCATAGGAAATCATCGTTTGCACGCACAAATGGGGGGAAGGCGAGAGCTGCCTCCCCTCATCAAGTAGCAATAAAAATCGCATAGCACCGCAGTGAAGACTAGACGGGCCAGCTTCAGCATCCGCCAGGATTGTGCACTTGTTCGTTACAAAAAGCGTCTTTGAGGCCTTTGGAGTTCCATGGCTTGACGTGTGTAAAGCATTGCTCAAAAGTACGTGTAAACTCGCAGCTTCCCCGCCGCTCTGCGCCGGGAGGGCGCCGGGGATCGGGGCACGAGCCCCRTTTGGGCCGGGCACCCCACTTATTCGCTCCCCTTTCTTGTGGTCGCTTCTTGTCGATGTGAAAATTTGCCTCGTCCGCTGCTCCCTTCCCGCCAGGCCGGTGGAGCGGCCGCAGACGCTGGCGCAGGTGACTTCACTGGGATGCACCGACCGGCCCCGGCAGACTCTGCTCCGCTCGCCCCTCGAGGCTGGGTTAGCGCTTTGTGCGGAAACAGGCTAGAATTACTGGCTGGATTCATTCGTTGAAAGGGTTTTGGCAATTTTTTATTTTCATCTGAGTATTAAGGAAGGAGAAGAGCCCCAAGCCGTGTGTGCGTGGGGATGTGGGGACATGGGGATGTGGAAGTTGCGCCGGCCGCAGAGCTGCCGGGAGCAGCGGGACTCGCCTCTGCTCCAGGGGCTGCCCTGAGATGGTGTCCTCGGTGCCCCGGGTTCTTATTTCCCGTATTTTAGATGGACTCGGAGGGAGGAGATGCTGTTCTGTGATCCGGCCCATGTCAGGGGGTTAAATGAGAGAGATACTTGTGTCTGTTTTGGCTTGCGGGGCGCTCGTCCRTGTTGTCTGGCCGTCGCTGGCAGCCGGAGCCGCCTGTGAGGCTCCGATCGCCCAGGTGGCCTGAAGAGGGTTTCACCACTTCGSAGAAGCCCTTCCAGGACCCCGAGAGCATCTGCCCCACTCCCTGCTCCCCTTTCAACTAACGCCCTGCTGGCCCCAGGCTGCAGCTCAGGGAAATGTGAGCGTTTCACGCCACAGAGCAGCGAGATTTGACGAGAGCCTCGAGGGGCTTCCCATACTGGAAAAGAAAAACCATTTCCCAATTGCTGAGACGGTGGTTGGTCCCGGTGGGGATGCGGAGCGGCCACTGCATGTGCTGGGCCGGCGMCTGGAGCGAAACCATCCCGTGGGAAAAGATCCATGGAGAGAAAAGTGCTGGAGTCGAAGCTGGTGCTGGGTGACAGTGCAGCTGGGTAAGGCAATGAGAGGCAGTGAGGTGATGTCCGAATGGCGCTGATGTTGGCTGAGGTCGGGGTCACACGAGAGTCCCAGGCTTGGCTTTTTCCTGTCCATACCACTGGACATCGGCTAATTCCGGATAGAGGGGAGCGTCCAGGAAACAGCTATCGTTGTAGCTCCTGCAGGASGAAGGAAACTCCGTTAGGGCAGTGAGGGCTCCCAGGAAGCTCAAGCATGCACAGGAGACACCACATCACAGGGAGAACACAGACATCCACGAACGCCACCGGATCCTGCTGATCCCCCTGCTTGCTTTGGCCGTGTGGCTCTTTGTTCAYGGATGAGACTCTACGGGATTTTTCTCTGCTATTTATTTTAGAGCCCAGGTCAGAGTTAACCCCATGGCTTAGCCTGCGGACCTCCTTGCTGGGGAAAATATCCATATCCCAATCCTGCCACGTTTATAAAAATGATGGTTATATTAATGCAATGATGTTCAGAATTGATGCTCCTCTCCTGTGCTTTGATCGGAACCAACCCCTAGGTCAGTGCCGGGGCCCAGGGTGGGAGAGGCGGCTTCTCCCCGGCTCCCTGCGCAGCGGCGGCACCCGCAGGGGCTGATCTCGGACCTGGGGTATCTGGGAAGCTCCTGCACTCCCTCCACGGGACCTCAGCTGCCGTCGTTAATTCGGGGTTAATTAAACCCCTAAAAATGAGATTTTCCTCATTCCCTCTGCCTTCCCCAGGGGGGCCGAGCTCCCCGCGACCTCCTCGATCTCCCCGCGACCTCCTCGAGCTCCCCGCGACCTCCTCGAGCTCCCCGCGACCTCCTCGCTGCCTTCGCAGCCCTGGGAGGGCGGGAAAGGGCCAGGGGCCGGGCCGGGGCCTTCCGGACGTCCCTCCAGGAGCGGAGGGAGGCCGCCCGCCCAGGAGCAGCGCGGCCGCAGCAGCAACGAGCAGAACGACCCTTACTATACCTCTATTCATCAGTACTTTGGTGGGCTGGAGACTGAGACTCATCCATAGTGGGTGAGCTGTCTGTTCCTTCTCTGAACAAYGGAAAGCCGCAAAGGAGGAGAGAGGAGAGAGGAGATGTTAAAGGACAGAAGTGACGCAGACGCTGTTACGAGCTTAGTAATCCAGGGGGGAAACAAGGCGAGGAATCGTCTCAAGAGAAAACGAGTTAGTGACACAAAAACATGCCTGGGAGAACTGCAGGGCTTTCGATTCACGGGAGGTAACGACCTGTTCTTGCAGCGGGGCAGTTGGTGCATCTGATGGCAAATGGTACCTGCCCCTTATGTATTTATACATTTACCCCTGGTCCTCTGCTCAGGGGTGAAACAAGTACAGATCTGTGGCTGGTTCTTTCTGCACCGGCTGTGGGTGCAAATCCTGCCCAAGAAATCCAGGTAATTTTGCTTTCACCAGCTGAGAATTTGGCTGGAGTTTTCTTTTGCGATAGAGACAGGAGCAGCAGTTTCCTTGAATGGAAGTGAGAAGAGTCAGAGTTTCCCAAGCAAAATTCTCAGCTGGCTGCTGAGCAGTCTTAATTCTGCTCATTGTGGAGATATTCAAAGGAATTAGGCTTGGAAAGGAGGCTAAGGCTTGAGTCCAGATTCAAGCCCTTAATAGRGGAAGTTTCTGTGTACACTTCAGAGCTGTCATTTTGCCAGTCTCGCAGTATTTTGACTTTCTGTGAGACGGGAATGGGAAAAAGATCCTGTTCTAATGCTGGAAACAGATTCAAAGAGCATAAAAAGCTGGAGGTCAATGTGTGAATTTGAAATTCAAACAAGGTATAATGGATTTGTGGTTATAGATCTCATCTCCATAAAACTCAGGGTCAAACATGGCCATGGGTGACAGGAAGAAATTAAAGACCATGGGATTTTCCAGTGGCTGCACCATGAAATACCTGCAGAATTAACTCTCCTTGTCCCAACTCACAACTCAGAAAACTATGCCTGTTTTTCAGGGCCTAGGGTATTTTGAGTTCATTAGTACGAAACTTTCTGGTTTATACCTCCAAACTCAACTTAGCTGCAGATACTTTGGGCATGTTGAGTTTGATGGGATCTCAAAATATTTACTGCAGGTCAAATATTTATTTCAGGGCAAAGTTACGGGTCATTCCTTGAGAACACCCACAGGCCCTGGCAAAAGGCCTTCTGTTGGCTCTGCAGCTCCCTGCCTCACAAAGAGGTTAAAGAGCCCAACTGCTCCATTAACATGAGTAATGGCTCCTGCTTATAATGACTCACTTGTGCTTTGGTGAAATGCATTAAATGGCTGAGAAAAGGACACACTTAGTGGTTATTAAGTCACGCTGCTAGGGAAAGCCTAGTAGAAAACGTGGTTGGTACACGTACAAGAATGGGAAGTGTCTAACACGGCCTTCACAACAACCATCTCCTTGGTCTGCTAGTTATTTGCTGGGAAAAACCAACCATTCCAGGTGTCAACCCAACCAACCGCGCCCGGCACAAGAGCACGGGAGGCTGTTGCCTCCAGAACCCGCTCCCGCCGCTCGTGCTCTGGGGGGTTTCTCCTGAYGGGATCAACCTTTGGGGTCCACAGCCTCTGTGCGCGCCCTGTGGACAGGGAGGCTGTGGAGTCTCCTTCCCTGGAGATCCCCAACCCCGCGTGGACGCGGCCCCGTGCCAGGCGCTCCAGCGTCCCTGCTGGAGCAGGAGGGCTGGAATAGATGATGTCTAGGGGTCCCTCCGGCGCCGCCCCCGTCCGCGCCACTCACCCTGTCTGCCAGGCGAGGATGTGTCGGGGGCTGGCGGGCGGCGTGGCCGCGAGCTCGCCCGGCGGCGAGCAGCTCCTCTGGCCGTGAGGTAACGCGGCTGCAAGACAGCGGGCGGGGAGGACACGGGCATGAGGCGCCACGCGACACCCCGTGAGGCGCCGCGCGACACCCGCACGGACACGGCTGGCGCCAGGACAGCGGGCGCGGAGGAGAGGGCCAGGAGG